ACATGAGTTCGGTGAAAACTTACGCAGAACTTATCGTACAGAGAATTAGTACTAATGTAGTACTATACAAACAACATCATGCAGCACCACACACATGCTGAATCTTATGAGCAATAATAAGAGTACTGCGCAGAACTACTATTATACAGTATTATGACTAAACAGTGCTAGTACTATACAAGGATTTACCGATAAGCTACATGTGCTTGTACTTATTATTGCTACTACAAGGCAGCGTATGCATACTGTACGCATGATATGGTTTCTGTATGCTATAGCATAGCACATGCGATAAATACTTTAAACAGTATTTCTAGGTGACGTGGCACCAAATGAAGGATTCGTTTTTCTTGCGTTCGGCATACACAATTAAACAACGTTACCGCCAGATTTATTGCATTACGATATTTATTACTAGGAATACATGACTTACTCTTCAGGTGCCACAACTGAATGGGCGAAGTCCGGTTTTGAGCGATTTCTGCCATCTGAAAAGAGAACCATTAAAAAAGAAAAACAAACAGGTAGAATATCAATAGATGAAACGTACTAGAGTACAGAGTAGCAGAGTACTTGTATGCACATAAACTGCATTAACATATTTGCCTACTGGATGAAAAATAGACAAACCTACCATATTACGAACATGAATAAAACTGATATTCGCCATCTTTGAATCAGTGAAAGGCAAAAAGCTCAGATGGAAAGAAGTTAGAGGGAACGAAGACTAAAAGAGAGGAGATGAAAATATAATAATATTCAGTGATAGCAAAATCTTGATTCGATAAAGATTTAGAAGAACAGAAAATAACTTGACTTGTTTAACTTTTACTAATTATACTATATAATTTGGTCAAACCAAATTTTACAAGTGTTTTTAATACTAACTTTCGACTACACCTAATATCTGATCTTTCTTGCATGCAATTCGAAGTTCCCCATTTTTTGAAATAGTTTTGAGAAACGAGCAAAGAGATTGCTGATAAGGGAACTGAATCGTAAAGTACCTGACTTCCTATGAACTATCCTTACTTAAGGAAATGCTATGTGAAGATTCTATAAACAAATATAATCGTTTTAAGATAAACATTTTTCTTGGAAAAATCGGTGATATTTCTGTTGTGTACTTTCCTGGATTTTATAAGCGATATTAGTGGACATCGAGAGGAACGCATG